GCAGTGACCGAAAAATGGCTCGTGAGCTGAACATATCCCAATATTCCATTCGGCAAATATTCAAAAATGAGCAAGAACTTACACCTCACCGGAAAGAAAATAGACTCAAAAGAGCTAAGGGTTGCTTCGCTCGGCCGAAAGTGGTGAACTGCCGAATTTGGTTTTCTCCGGTGAGAAAACATTCGTTGTCCAGCCGTTTGTAAACAAACAAAATGATCATGTTTACTTGCCAAAGAGGTCAGCTGAAAATGTGCACCATCGGTTGACCACAAGAAGTTAAGCGCCGGTCATGTGATGGTGTAGGCCGCCATAACTGCCGATGGTCGCTCTCCGCTCGTATTAATCGACCGTGGCATCAGAATAAATGCCGAATATTATAGCGAACACATTCTGGAGGGTATATTAAAGCCTTGGGCACGAAACATTTTGGCCGCAGACCTTGGACATTCCAACAGGACACAGCACCATCGCACTCAGCACGCGTCACCCAAGAATGGTTACAAAATGAGGTTACTCGCTCCATTTCCAGCGCACAATGGCCACCAAAATCTCCGGATACCAATCCGTTGGACTATTGTGTCTGGAATATTTTGGAAAGCAAGGTTTGCACTAAAAAATACCAAAGTGTCGATCACCTCAAGCAAGCACTTCGCCGGGAATGGGCCAAAATACCGCAGAGCAACATTCGGGCAACGTGCGATGGTTTCATTGGCCTTTTGAAGGCTATAATTCGTACAATAGGGGACCAATTCGAACAAATCTAAACTTATTTTAAAATTTGGTGCTATTTTCGACATTTTTTGCTTTCACTCAATAAAATTAAAAAAAAAAAAATGTGAAAATGATAACGTTTGACTTTGTTGCAGTTTTTTATCTCACCCTGTATAGGTTTCATCCGATTTGGTATTTAAGTCCCTCACATTCGTAACATTCATTCGACAACAATGATATTTGTTACCAGATATCTCATAGAGCAAATTTGGAGAAAATCGGTTTAGATATAGCTATAGCTCATCTGATTTGGTGTTTTCAGCGCCTCAAATTCGTAGTATCCTTTCGACAACAATGATATTTGGAAATACCTTTGCCAAAATTTATGAAGATCGGCTAAGATTTGAATATAGCTCCCATATATATCCTTAATTCGATTTCAGGTTTATTGTGCAAATGTCTCCGTCAAATTTAGTGAAAATCGATTCAGAATTTGTATATGCCTCCCATATATTAGCTCCGTCTGAAACCAAACTATAACTGCTCTAAAGCCAAATGTTGATATGTGGTACTATCTACTTCAAATAAATTCTTTTGTTACGGGAGCTCTATATGCATAGTTGCTATATGATAGCCCGCCCGACTTTGTCTTTTCCTTACTGGTTTACTTATGATTGTTTTTGCTACTGTCTTGACAACTACGTCACGCTGTCAAATACATGAGCTATGTAGTCTTGCCTTTTGTCAGCGCAGAGTTATTGCCGTCAAATATAAACTACAATGAATTCTCAAAAATTCTATCCAAAAATCATTTGCCTGGAAAAGAATTTACATGGTGTTTCAAATTAAAGTTTTAAATACGTCAGCAGATCCATAACTTTGTAACTTTTCCATCTTCTCTCATAGTCATGTGTATGAAATGCCTCACTGCTCTAATCAAATGCCATCTGTTAAATGAATTTTGTACAGATTTATTTTTTATTGCTGTGTTCTGTTTTTTCATATATAACATGGATTTATTTCAACACCTTGACAACCACATAGCCTTTCCCATTGCCAGTAATTCCCGTTCGTACATTTCCTCTTCTCGCTGCATAAGTTGTTGCAGAAAATTGCGCCGAACATTCAGAGTGATTATCTGGGCGGCTTTCAGCTCAGCTTTGATGGGAGCAACCAAATTGATGATTCCACCTTTGGCCTGGCCATCGCCACCGCATTCGGTTTCCTTGATGTACTGCAAAATATTGTCACTGGTTGACAGGAAGTGAAAGATTGAAAATTAATTTGTGTGTGTGTTCGGTTTTTTTTTCAAATAAAAAGAAAGATTTCGCAGAATATTTCAAAGAGTTGCATTCATTCATTACATTTCACTTTCCTGATTCATGCCTGAGGCAGTTCTTGGTACAACAACGTTGGTTCGACTTTTATTTATTTATGGATGAATGTGAATTGTTTTGCAAGTTGCTTCTGCTTCTGCTGCTGTTCAAATGTTGTTGTTTGCCCAAGGGAAAAATGAAAATAAAATTAGCTTCCTTCGTTTTTTTTTGTTTTGTTTCAAAATACATTTCAACGCAGTGTCACCTTTTGTTTTATTTATTCTCATTCTTTCACTCGAATAAATAATAAATGAAATTAATTCTTTTGATGTTGTTGGCAAGTGTTTTATGTTCTCCAGTTTCCTTTATCAGCGTCTTAGCTTAGCATTGTTTGCATGCTTGATTAAAATTTCATAATTATAATTAATTGTTTTGCTTGTGTTTTTAAAAACATATCTGGCGCAAAATTCAAATTGCTGAGAGTGAATTTTAGGGATGCCTATGGTAGTCATGGGAACGTGAAGCGATGACATAGCTCGACAATTGCACTGTACAACAAAATTCAAACGCGCCATCGGAGCTAGAACCCATTATGACAAAATATCAATTTTTAGACATATCCGTGGAAAAAATCATCAAAATACCGATTATAGGGAGGTACCGTTATATGGCGACTATACCAAAACATGGACCGCTATATCTCATTTTCAATACAAACAATCCTAGGCAAAATGAAAACTACTGTGTCAAACTTACAAGAACCTCATAATAATTAAGAATGCATAGTTATGTAGGGTATCATAATGTTGGCTCCGACCGATATTTGTTCTTTTTATGGTGGAGGGCATGGTATGGAAGGTATATTAAGTTTGTCACAACACCCACAAATCAGCATAAAATTCTAAGTCGATTTAGCGAAGTCCGTCCGTCTGTGGAAATCACACTAGCTTCCGAACAAATCGAAGTAGATTGATAAAATTTTACTTGAATGTATATTATGTCTGCAGGACTTTTGGTATTGAAAATGGGCCATGTAGGTCCACGCCTTGGTATAGCTCCCATATCATGGTACCTTCCGATATTCGGTATTTTGATGATCTTAGCGACATTATTCACCGGAATTGTTTCAAATTTGGTATTTTAGGTTCGAAATAGATACTACAGCCTAGCACAGAAAATTGTCTGTGTAGGTCCACGTCTTCGTATAGCCCCAATACAACGGTACCTCCCGATATTCGGTATTTTTATTTTTATTTATTTTAGCGACATTATTCACCGGAATTCTTTCATTTTTTTAAGTCATAATAGATGCTACAGCCTAAGACAGAAAATTGTCCGTGCAGGTCAACGCCTTCGTATAGCCCCCATATAACGACACATCTCGATATTCGGTATTTTGATGATTTTAGCAAAATTATTCACAGGAATTTTAAGTTCGTAATGGATACTACAACCTAAGACAGAAAATTGTCGGTGCGGTCCACGCCTTTGTATAGACCTATTCAAAGTTCGGCCCGGCCTTACAGCTTTTTTTTACTTGTTTCTACTGTTTGGATTTCCTATAAAAAATTTAAGATAGAAATATTTGAATGTGTTCCTATAGGGCGAGATAAAAAAATGGCGTTTGACCATAATTTTTACATTTTTTTAAAATTTTCAATAAACATTTTGAAAGCAAAAAATTTTCGGAAATAGCATCCAACTTTAGAATAAGTTTAGATTTTTTCAAATTGGTCACCTTTGGCACAAATTATGGCCTTCAAACGGCCAATAAAACCGTCACACGCTGCCCAACTGTTGCTCTGCGGTGATCGACACTTTGGTATTTTTAGTGCCAATCTTGCTTTCCAAAATACTCCAGACACAATAGTCCAACGAATTGGTATTCGGAGATTTTGGTGGCCATTGTGCGCTGGAAATGAAGCGTGGAACCTCCTTTTGTAACCATTCTTGGGTGGCGCGTATTGAGTGCGATGGTGCTGAGTCCTGTTGGAATATCCAAGTTCTGCGGCCAAAGTGTTTGCGTGCCAAAGGCTTTAATACACCCTCCAGAATATTTTCGCGATAATATTCGCCATTTATTCTGATGCCACGTTCGATTAATACTAATGGAGAGCGACCATCGGCTGTTATGGTGGCCCACACCATCACCATGTCCAGCGCTTGGGTTCTGTTGGCCAACCAAATGTGCACATTTTCAGTTGACCTCTTTGGCCACTTTCGGCCAAGCGAAGCAACTCTTTAGCTCTTTTGAGTCTATTTTCTTTCTGTTGCGGTGGAAGTTCTTCCTCTTTTTTGAATTTCAATGGCCTTACCCCGAGCTCATTTTTCAATATTTGCCGAATGGCATATTGTGATTTGTTCAGCTCACGAAACATTTTTCGGTCACTGCGTCGCAGGTTTCGATCAAGTCGCCTCTTTACTTTTCTAACCATTTCTGCTGATGTTGCTGTTTTCTTTCGTCCACTTCCTTGACGTCGGGCTACGCTACCAGTATCACGATAACGAACGATGGTACGACACATAAAAGATTTATTCATATTTTTAAATGCTGGAGTGCTCTAACGATAGCCACTTGTGGTTTTTTAGGCAAATATAAAGAAATCACACTATCACGCTTGAATTCCATCACGAATAACTTTTTTTCTGGAAAATTCTCACCAAAATGATTTTGTTCGCTTGTTAACAATATAATAAGCTGTCAGTGGAATAATTTTAACAGCTGTCGGACGAGTGGCTTGGGATTGACAGCAGTTTGAAATTAGTTGCAGTTTTTTCATCTCACTCTGCATGTTCAGAACCTTAATGCTATCTATTTTTTGAACACACCAAGATTTCCACTCTTCCTCTAATGACTCACCTTATCCTCCTACCAAACCGCACATCAAATTTTTCAGAATATAATTGATGTTGTTATTATTAAATATACGTACAATGAAGATTCCTCGTGGACGGTTACATACAAAACTTTTTTTATTTAATTTTTTTTTTCTTTAGTATTTTCCTTGCTTCAAATAATTCGGCATAATACTCCACTGTACCGATGTGATCGAAAGGATATCCTTCATAAAAAATCAAAACTCCTTTATACGTGCCCTTTGGAAATAAAGCAGATATCGAATTGCCCTCAAGATAGAGATTTCTTGCAATAAGCAAGCCCTACAGAAGTATTTTATATATTAGGAAAATGAAATAAATGCCACACTACAACTACTACTACCCACCGAATAGGGACAGGAATGATTTACATTGGTGTATTGGGTCAAGACATCCATGAATACTTTCATATATGTTCCGAATTGTTTCTGACCCAAATACCAGCAAATGTTTTGAGTGAAATTCACAAGAAATGGATTATAGGTGTTGACATCATTGCGGGCATACAATGCAATATTGACCTGTAGAAAAAAAAGAAAACCAAAAAAAATAATAATAAAAAAAAAATAAATAAATATTTTTAGTTTTTTTTTTTTCATTTTTGAATTTATTAATGGTTTTAATGACTTACAGATACATTACGCAGTTCTTTCCTGAGGTATCCATCCAGAAAGGCCACACTTTTGTAACGATTCACAGGCTTCAGCCGGCATGTGTGATTTACAAAATATTTTGAATTTTGAATACAAATTATCTTGGTGGCTTTAATTACATTGTTTGTGTAGACCAACTAGGAGTACGTGGTTAGAATATGTTTCAGTATTATTAATTTTTTTGTTGTTATATAACTTACACTAATGGTGTTCAAGCTCAAAATAAAAAACGTAATTTTTATGGGGTGACGCATCTTAAAGAATCTGAAAGAGATGAAATGATTTCATGTTAATATATACGAGGTAACAGACCTACAAACAAGGAATATTACCTAGCAAAGTCAAAGAAACCTATAATAATCCAGAAGCTATGCACTAAAGTTATTACTAAACAAGTAAGCAAAGGCTATAGCCGTGCGGGGCCGACCATGTGATACCCTACAACACTACAATATGTTAAAAGCCCCCTTATATCCAAATCCATTTTAGTATCTTCTATGTGATTTGATTGTCTACGATATTTGCCTATATTCGTCAACAAAATCAGCGTAAAAAGCCAGAAGTTCGCTTTTGTGTATTTTAGATTTCGCATGCACGTTATTTTCATCGTTTCGGTAGAATGGAAATGCTGGGAATTTTTTCTCGCAAAAGTAGTGGTCCATACTACACGCTGTCCCAAACTCTAATTTCATGCCAGATTTCGTGTTCCTTTATAGCGGCTGCAAAATTAGCAACATTTTATTGTTGGTTCATTTCAACCCCTAAATATATTGCGTACATCTTTGAAAACAATAGGCATAGCCCTTCTGAGCCTAACTGTGCCCTTGTGAAAATTTTCGTGAGTACCGGACGATAATTTCAATCTTTAGATAATAACCCCAACCTGTGTTGTAAGGTGAAAAAATATAACAAAACGTACACTTCAATATTATAAGTTAAATTGAAAAAATCGCATGCGATAAAAAATATGAAAATATAAAAATATGTCACAAAATAATACAAAATCTCTGTTAACATCATTATTGACATCTTTTTTACGATTTTTTTAGATTTTATACTTTTATGACAAGAGGGCATTCTGAATTGACAAAATTTGTCAAAATAGGTCCAGGCATTCTTGAGATATAAGCATTTTAGCTAACATTCCCTTCCTTTGTATAAACACATTGTATATATTTCGCTATATATATCCGATATATTTACTATCGGCATCTACTTAACGGTCAGAATTGAACTGTTCGTCTATTTTTGATTTCACAGGTATTAAAAACATTCGCGGTTTAATGGAAAATTTCACTTTTATTTAACACAAATGTTATAGTCTATTTCACCCACTAAATAATACCCGACGACCATCAAAATTGGAAGGTTTCTACCCAGCCCCAAGCTCTACCCCCATGCTAACTTCCGCGTCGATTGGTCTATGATTGCGACCTGTAGAGCAACTGCAAAATCAGGAAATTTTCCAGTTTTCGGTCCATTTCAACCCCTAAATATTATGCGATCATCCCCAAAAGGGTTCTATTCTGGCTCTAGCCCCACCCTCATTCTAAATTTCGTGATGATCGGGCCATAATTGCGACCTGTAGAGTGATTACAAATTAACATGGACAGACGGACGGACGGACGGACATACATAGCTAGATCGACTCAGCTCGGCGAGATAGGAAGATCCATATATACTTTCCTATGTGGGAAACCAATATTCCGAGGTGTTACATAATTTTTGGCTCAATCAAACTTATAATACCCCCAACACATAGTGGTGTAGGGTATAAAAACGCGATGCAACGTAACAAAAATTACGGAAAAAATCCAGCAGATTATGAAAGTCGAGCTAAAAATAGAAGATACGTATATCGGCGCTCTGAGAGTTTACAACCTAAATAGAAGAGGCAAGATAACTCTCTTTCACATTTTTATACCCTCCACCTTGGAAATTTGACTTTATCATTCCATTTGTAACATCCCTAAATATTCATCGTGGACCCTATAAAGTATGCAGGGTGAGATGAAAAAACTGCAACCAAATTCAGACTGCTGTCATTTCTAAGCCACTCTTCCGGCAGCTGTTAAAATTATTCCAGTGACAGCTCATTATATTGTTTACAAGCATACAAAAGCATTTAGGTGACAATTTTCCAGAAAAAAGTTATTCGTGATGGAATTCAAGCCTGATAGTGTGATTTCTTTATATTTGGCTGGAAAACCACAAGAGGCTATCGTTGGGGCACTCCAGCATTTAAATGTGCACAAATCTTTTGTGTTTCGTACCATCGCTCGTTTCCGTCATACTGGAAGCCCGACGTCAAGGAAGTGGACGAAAGAAAACATCTACATCAGCAGAAATGGTTCGAAAAGTAAAGAAACAACTTGATCGAAACCCGCATCGCAGTGGCCGAAAAATGGCTCGTGAGCTGAACATATCGCAATATTCCATTCGGCAAATATTTAAAAATGAGCTCGGGGTAAAGCCATTGAAATTCCAAAAAAATTCAAGAACTTACACCGCAACAGAAAGAAAATAAACTCAAAAGAGCTAAAGAATTGCTTCACTTGGCCGAAAGTGCTGAACTGCCGAATTTGGACAACATTCGTTGTCGAGCAATTTGTAAACAAACAAAATGATCGTATTTACTTGCCAAAGAGGTCAGCTGAAATGTACACCTTTGGTTGACCAACTGAACACAAGCGCCGGCCATGGTGATGATGTGTTCCGCCATAACAGCCGATGGTCGCTCTCCGTTCATATTAATCGAACGTGGCATCAGAATAAATGCCAAATATTATCGCGAAAATATTCTGGAGGTTGTATTAAAGCCTTGGACACGCAAACATTTTGGCCGCAGACGTTGGACATTCCAACAGGACTCAGCACCTTCGCACTCAGCAAGAATGGCTACAAAATGAGGTTCCTCGCTTCATTTTCAGCGCACAATGGCCACCAAAATCTCCGGATACCAATCCGTTGGACTATTGTGTCTGGAGTATTTTGGAAAGCAAGGTTGGCACTAAAAAATACCAAAGTGTCGACACACCTCAAGCAATCGCTTCGCCGGGAATGGGCCAAAATACCGCAGACTAACATTCGGGCAGCGTTTCATTGGCCGTTTGAAGGCCATAATTCGTGCCAAAGGTGACCAATTCGAGTAAATCTAATTTTATTCTAAAATTTGATGCTATTTCAGTTGCAGTTTTATTATCTCACCCTGTATATATTCATAATCAGCATAAAATTCTTAGTCGATTTAACGATGTCCGTCTGTCTGCTGAAATCAATCAGACTTGACATTTCGGCGTTGTTAACATTTTTTTTATTCAGATATTGAAAGAGGAAAAATAGATATTTAAAAATGGTCATAACTAAATATTGACATTTCGGACCTTTTAGCGTGTTTTTACACCCTCCACCATACATATTATGGAGGGTATATTAAGTTCGTCATTTCGTTTGTAACTCATCGAAATAATAATTTTAGACCGTCCGTCTGTCCGTCCGTCCGTCCGTCCGTATGTCCGTCTGTTGTAATCACGCTAGAGTCAAAACGATTAAATGTAGGAAGCTAAAATTTTGCACAGATCAGTCTTTTGTCTTCAGGCAGCTCATGTTCGAAGATCAGCTATATCGGTCCACGATGTCGTATAGCCCACATACAACGGTACCCCTCGGTATTCGGAATTTTGACGATTTTATGGACATTATTCATCTTTATACAGCCCACATTATTTGACGTAGAGCGTCAAAATTAAGCAGAACCATTTGTATTGTGTCTAGGATGGTTGGTATTTAATATGAGATATTTCGGTCAACGTTTTGGTATAGTACCCATAAAACGGTACCTTTCAATATTCGGTATTTTGATGATTTTTGCTACATTTTTTTCACGGATTTGTCTAAAAATCGGTATTTGTATATTATAATGGATTCTAGCTTGTGTGGAGAAACATTGTATATAGAAGCTTAAAATTTTTTTTATCGCATCACTCACTTTGATTTTGGTAAAACGAGTTCAAACACGACACTATTTTTTCAATATTTCTATTTATGCAAAATATGTTGTGTCTAGACAAATACAATGTTATTTTGTTGTAACCTTTTGTGATTGAAATTTTGAAATTTAGTAATTAAATAATTTAGTGATTTATTGAAAGTTTTGTTTACTGGGGGCATTTGGCCATTCTTTGGGAATCAATTACTTGGGTATCGTTTAAATAATTTTCTGGTTTACTTGTCGCCAACTAAGCATAAACTATTTCGATGTATATTTATGTTTTTGTTTATATCCTCCACAATAGCATGGAGGGTATGTTAAGTTTGTCATTTCTTTTGTAATACCTGGAAACATACATTTTAGGACCCACCAAGTAAATATATATTCTTGACCAGCATAAAATTCTATGGCGATTTAGCGATGTCCATCCATCTGCGGAAATCACTCTCCACGAAATGAAGTGGGTTGATAACATTTTACTCAAATGTGACTTTAGCGACATTATTCATCGGAATTGTTTCAAATTTCTTATTTGAAGTTCCCAATGGGTACTGTTATAACAGAAGATTGACTATGAAGGTTACGTCTTCGTATAGCCCCATACAATGGTACCTCCCTATATTCGGTTTTTTGATGATTATTGCGACCATATCCACCGGAATTGTTTCAAATTTCGTATTTGAAGCTCCTAATGATTGCTACAGCCTAAGAGAGAAAATTGTCTGTGAAGGTGCAGGCTTTCGTATAGCCCCCATGTAACGGTACCTTCCTATATTCAGTATTTTATATGATTTTAGCGACTTTATCCACCGAAGTTGTTTCAAGTCCGTATTTGAAGTTCCTACAACCTGTGACAGAGAATTTTCTATGCCGGTCCAAGTCTTTGTATAGGACCTATATAAGGGCACCACCATTTTATTGGGTATTCTAATGATTTTAGCGAAATTATTCACCGAAATTACTTCAAGTTTCGTATTTGAATATCGCAATGGCTTATGCCGAAAATTTGCCTATACAGGTTCATGTCTTCGCATAGGGCCCAATATAACGGTAACTCCCTAAAATCGTTATTTTTATGATTGTGGAATATTTTTTTAGAAGTATTTTTTTAAAAGTTGGGCCAGGCCGAACTTACTGTTTATACCCTACAACACATAGTGGTAAGGATATCATGTCTTTGTCCATTTGTTTGTCATAGGGAGAAGGAAGCGAGATAGACCCATAGTAATTTTTGAGTATCTTCTGAGTATATTGTTCATCTCCAAATTC